GGCAAAGCCAGTGAGGAGTCAGAAATCAGAGAGACAAGCCAAAGAGCAGTGGGCACCTGGGATTAGAGCAGAAGGTGGAACAGGTGAAAACCAGAAGCAGAAGCAAAGTGACAGGCAGAGTTTCCAAAAACAGGCACAGAAAGTTCCAATAACATCAAAGTCCTCCATTTTCAAGAAAGCAGCTGGAGGGAAGAGTCAGTTCTTATATAGCTCTTTTCTCAGGGCTCTCAGGTGGTGCTCGTAACAGCCCAGGTGGCCACAATTGACTGTGGGCCCAGTCCTGCAAGCACTGGGGCTGCTATTCTAGTCTCTGGCCAGAAGAGGGAGCCCTGACACTGCCTCAGAACCTCACATGGATTTCTTGCATGTTGCCGTGTTCTTAAGAACTTACTCTTGTTTTAACTTCTCTCTTAAAATGATCTCTCATTCCACAGAAATCAGATGCTGTGTATGCACAGCATCCAACCACATCTTGGAAGCTCTTGATGGAAAACATGCAGTTGGCCATCACCACATTATGTATCTGCTTCCAGATTGGTTGCCTCTGTTGGTCTCTCAGAAATATTCAACCCTCAGAGGGGGCAAGGATGGTACAGTTTTACTTTCCATGAATTTGCAATTAAGCAGATTCAGAAAGTTCTGATAAGTTTGCTTATCAAAGTACTGCTGAAACACTGTTGGGCCAAATCCAGTCTGACCAGAGCAAGGGAGGGGTGTGGCCCCAATGCATCTTTCTGCATGCACAGAAGGGCTTTAGTCTCCCAACCACGTGGCATCATCAAGATGCACAGTTCTCATGCTCAGAAGCATAGATAGGGACATTTCCTTTACCCAGTTTTTCATGGGCTTCATGCATGTATCTGCATCATCCCATCTGATAAATTCATCTGAGAGTTTCACCTTACAAATTCTTTCTGACTGCTGCAATTAGGTTCATTCAGTGTCCCATTCTATTTATTTGAAGTTGTTCCTTTTTGCTCCAAGAGATATATGACTAAATGTTTTCACTCTTTGACTTTATTGCACAATTTGTCTGGTAGAGAATAGTGACCTGTGATGCTTGTGGGAGTCCTCATGATTTGTTTCTAAAGGTTGGTTTGCCTCCCTCTTGATTCTGCCTATAAGTGTATTTTAAAAGTGGATTGGCCAAATGTGCATTTTCAAGTGTCTTTTCTCCCAATTAAAAGGCAGCAAATGTTTTACTATGTGTCTTTCTCATGGTGGAAAATATGCGCTGCTCCACTATGACAAACCATGACAGCATTGAGTTTTTGAGGGTGGGTTTTCACATGGGTGAATGTGTGCAAATATCTATATTTGGAAGTGTCCACATGTGCAAGGTTGCGTCTCTGACCTGAACATAAAATGTGGGAAATGAAGAATGTTTCCAAAAGATTGCATTCCTCTTTGAGGTTTTGAAGAGGACAAGTTTTCATGGTTTGTAAAGAGGTTATGAACTTCTCACTCATCCGTACTATCTGCATCTGATTGGTAAAACCCAGATACCTTCCCCAAAGCTATGTTTCATTATCTGGCAAGCTATTCGAACCATTAATTCCCTCAAACAATGGTGAGAGCAGGAACATGGAGTTGCTTTAATGTGTATTCAGGCTGCTGCTCTGTCTAATTTCTGCAGTGCTTTTTTTGATCTGTATCATAAAAGACTTTGGTGTTTCTTATTGATCCTCTGAGATAGGAATTGGCAATATGCATTCCTCAAATGCTGAGGGATCACAACTCCGATCATCTCTCACCAATGGTCATATTGGCTCAGGCTCATGGGAGTTGCATTCCACCAACATCTGGATGGCTACAATTAAGTCCAGTGCAGCTTTATTTATTTAAATCTCTCTTAACGGTTTACCCAATTCATACACCCGGAGCCAAGAAACAAGCCGCTGAATTTGTTGTCAGAAATCGGTATAGTCCTTGCCCTAGGATGCACCCCCGAATAATCCATAGAGTGTATTCCTCAGACAGAGTTGAAAAAAGCAGAGAAAACCTTGTTGTTATTGTTACAAACATTTATATCCCATCCTTCTGACAAGTGCTCAGGACAACTTACATAGTTTTCTGTTCTAACATGGGTAAAAGCACAATTAGCAGGGTCATGCATTCAAGAGTGGGTAGAGGGGTATATACAAATTCTCAAGGGATTTAGAAACAGCTGTCTCAGAAAGAGTCATAGGAATGAAGGAAAAATCTAGCTACCATCAAGTTCAATGGTCTTACTTGACAGCAGGGGGAGCTGGCCTTACTGGAAGATACTAGAGTGTGGGAATGGAGGATCCATGGGCCAGGACAACCTGACTTTGAACCTTATGTGATGAGAACAAACTGGGTGTTGACTGTTACCTAAAGATCTTGGTTGGGGGCCTTCCTGGAAGCCACTGTTGAAAAAGGAGCCAGGCGAAAGGGATGCGTATTCTGATCCAGGGGAGACCAAAAGGATTTCTCTGTCTATCCACCGGGTGGTGTTGATGTCCTTTCTAAGGTGGAAAGCCAATGGCGCTTTGGTAAGCAATAGCTAGCATTAAAATCATAATAGAAAGTGGAATTATTGTAGGCCATCTTACTTTGGAACAAAAAGAAAATTACATAAAATCAGCACCGGAAAGTTGTGCCAAGAAATGTGAGCACATGTCTGGCAATTTACAATCATTTTTTTTTTGCCTGATCCGGGCTTGCAATCATGTGCAAAGGGCAAGAGCACATATTTTATGAGCTAATACCAAATTCTCATGCCTCTCTATTCAGCAGTGTTCTTATGGCCTTGTGGCCAGCCACAGAAATAGTTATGAGCTGGGCTTTCACCTTTCAGATCCAGGAATGTGGGGGGAGATAATACCGGCTTCTTGGTAATTGGGGAGTAGGGGAGAAATTCATTCAATTCACACCTTGAACTGCCATTCAAATCAAAACTCAGTTCTCCAGTGAAATGCACACTTCTCTGAATTTTGGAGCAGAGTTTTCCAATTATTTGGCCAGGACGACTTATTTTATATTGTTATTTTTTGTATTTTAACTAAATGTTTGCATTTTACAAACATTTTAATTTAATGTTATAACTTAATGTTTGTATTTTAACTTAATGTTGTAAGCCGCCCCAAGGCTTTGGCAAAAGGGGTGGCATAAAAATGTTTTAATAAATAATAAAGTTTAATAAATTACATGTACAGAATTGAAGATGTGCAAAGAATGATAAATAAATAGCCAACAAAATGGCTTTATAATCAGAACACTGCTTCCCCAAAATATGTAGACCAAGCAACATACATTTAAATGCTTGTGGTTTTTATTTATGTTTTAGAACAACATGGGGCAACTGGATTTAATCCTGAAATTCTAACAGTTGAGGATGAACTGAATGGAAAAAAATGGAAATGGACAGACAACACTGCAGTTCCTTGGATCTTGCAGGAGCCAACACCCAAGACTGAACCAAATACTCTCCCTGTTTGATATTTGTGTGCAAATTTGGCACTGGACTACTTTCAAGAGCAGGATTGGTTCTGCCTCCTTCCCCCAGCAAATTTCACCTTGGCTTTGAGGAAGGCGTTTAGGAGAAGCACAGCAGATGCCTGTGAGCTGGTTTCTCCTGGGTGAGGACCTGCTTGCTTCACTTGCTCTTGCAAACCTTGATTAATTTCCTGTAGGGCCTGTTTACGTTCATAATTAATCATGGAAGCAACGAACTACTTCCACTAAAGCAGGCAGGGTGGAAGGGAGTGGAAGAATCTATGATGACAGAACAGTGGATGGGCCTGCAGAAGGTTGCAGGTTATGTGCTTGGCATCCCTACCTGAAAACACCAAGAAAGATTAAAGTTATGCATGAAACAGCCATCCAAATTAGTAATCGTCAGAGATTTCAGAAGAGGTGTAAGGTCTTCAACCCAGATTATTATTATTATTATTATTATTATTATTATTATTATTATTATTATTACACTTCTATGCCGCCCCTTGCCGAAGCGTCGGGGCGGCTTACAACACAATAAAATACATTGAGATACAATAGAGCATAATAAATTACCAGAAGATACAAAAATACCAAAAAATACATTGAGTCACAAACATCATAATATAAAATTAAAATTACCAGTATAAAATAAGTAAATAAATAATATAGGAGGGGAAAAGAGAAGGAAGAAGAAGTTGCCCTGGCCAGTTCATATATTTTAACAGTTAAAATGATGTTTAAATAAAAAGGTCTTTACCTGGCGCCGAAAAACCAGTAACGACGGTGCCAGGCGGACCTCTTTGGGGAGTGAGTTCCATAGGTTGGGCGCCACCGCAGAGAAAGCCCTCCTCCGAGTACTTACTCTCCTA